CGCGCAATGGAGAGCGTGGGAGCAGCCGCGCCCCTTGCTGATGCCGCGCCGCCGCCTCGCTGCTGCTGCCTTGCTGCGCACGTCGCCACGCCGCGCCGCGCGGGCCTCGCACCTCCACTCCCACCACCACCTCCCTCTTCACAGCCATGTCCTACAGCCAGGCACCTCCCACCTACTCTGCTCCCAAGAAGGGCTACGCCGCCGTGCCGCAGTCGCAGTCCGACGCGCCGGCTGCAGCGTCAGCATCGGCTTCGGCAGCGACGCCGCTCCTCGCCTCGCACGACGCGGCGCCGCGGCAGGAGGGCGATGTGGACGCCGACGACTTCAAGTACGGCGTCTCCGTCGAGCAGTCTACGCCCGAGGTACGGCAGATGTTCTTGAAGAAGGTCAGTCGAGTTCTTTTGGGCGTGGGCTCGCTGTAGTGGGGGTAGAGAGGGAAGCAAAAGTGGGCAGGGTGCGAGGCCACAAAGGTTGGAGGAGGGTAAGCGCGGGCAAGCCTGCTGGTTGGGTAGGACGCACGCGCATTGAGAAAAGGAGTCTCTTGTGCAAAGTCAGCTTGCGAGAAGAGGGGGCATGAGTAAAGCTCGTTTTGCCACGGGACGCGTATACTTGCTTGCCCATGCCTGTTTGTGGAAAAGGCGTGCCTCCAGCCCAACTGTGCAGCGGTGGTGGGCCAGACCTCCTAAGCCATCTTGGTGGCCTCCCCCGCTCGAGCCGCCTTCGGGGCAAACAGCGGGCCTGGCCACTGACCTCCGCCCGCAACGCCGTGCTGAGAAACCAAGGCGGGGCCTGACTTCCCTTTCTGCCTTGCTCAGGTCTACTCGATTCTCTTCCTCCAAATCCTCGGCACTGCCCTCGTCGGCTCCACGATGCGCATTCCGGCCGTGTCTGCATGGGTGATGAACAAGTGCGTTGTCCCTTGGCGGGGGGAGGGGTCCTCCTGTTCCTTTCATCCTGCGCCTCTGCTGCTAGACCATATCTCACCTCCTGACTCACCCTTAGCTCCTGGATCGTGATCGCCACGTCCATTTCGGCGCTCATTTCCATGGGCGTGCTCTACTTCAAGCGTCATTCGCACCCGACCAACCTGCTGCTGCTCGGCCTCTTCACCACGCTCGAGGCAGTGTCGCTCGGCAGTGCCATTGCCTACGTCAACCAAGTCGTCGTGCTGCAGGCCCTCATCCTCACCCTCTTCGTCTTTGCCGGCCTCACCCTCTTTGTCTGGATCTTCCCCGAGCTCAACTACGCCAGGCTGGCGCCGTGGCTTTTCGGCGCGCTGCTGTGAGTTGTGTGCTGTTGCTGCTGCTGCTGCTGCGCCTCTATGCTGCCGAACAGACGCGGGAGCAGCGAAGAGCGAGAGCCTTTGGCGCTGACATGTGGCTGTGTGCCCCCTCCCCCCCCCTCTCTCTCAACCCCCTTCAAAAAGTCTCCTCGTCGGCGCAGGATTCGTGCAGCTCTTTGTGCCGTTCAGCAATGCCGTCGACATGGCCTTTGCCGGCATTGGCGTCGTCGTCTTCTCTGGGTGAGTGTGGCTTGTGCGCGCTTTGGCCTCCCAGCCCTGGGGCGACAACCCTGGCTCGCGCTGCGCTTGGCACTCATATACCCTTCCTTACCCTCCCCCATCCCCCCTTCCTCCAACTCGTAGCTACATCCTTTTCGACACGCACATGATCATGAAGCGCATGAGCGCCGAAGAATGGGTGCTTGCCGTCATCTCCCTCTACCTCGACATGTGAGTTTTCTGGCCACCTGGGCACACGCCATTCTGCTTTACTCGCGCTTTCTCGCGGGGGGGAGGGGGGGGGCTCTTCTGAACGGGCAAAGCTGACGACCTCTCGCACTTCCGAACTGCAAAGCATCAATCTCTTCCTCTCCATTCTGCGCATCCTCAATGGCGTGCAGGACGACTGATGCGGTGTTCTCGACTCTCTTCAAGTCGGCTTCAGCGTCTTTTTCTCAAGCGGGACGACACACTGCGCGCACATATCTTCTTCTCGTTCTCGTGCTCGTCTCTGCCCCTCCCCAACGATGGCTCTCTCCTCGATCTGCGCCCCTGTTTGTACCATAAGCCCGCGCTCACTCCGGCGCGTTACGATGTCCTCTCACACACACACTGTCCTCGTGGCTATGGCGCGCCATGGTGTGAGCGTGGGGTATCTTCATTCTTCCGGGCAAGACGGCTGGAGAATGGGGGGGGGGGGGGTCGGGGAGGGCAGGAGAGAGGGAGGCAAATTGTGCTTCGTACCCCCCCCCCCCCCTCCCCCCCACACTCCACACCCTCAGCGGTGGCTGCCAGCGTTGCGTGCTCAGCGCAGCCGCACAGGCGGGAGTGGCGCTGCAACTTAGCCCCACGCCCCTACGCCCGCAGGTCGCAGTTCGGAGGCGTGCAGCATACACATCGCCGAAGGGTCTTCAGGGCGGAGGAGGTGACTCTGTAGACTCGCGCCCTGCTCCTCCTCCTGCTCCTCCTCCTTCTCCGCGCAGCTTCCTCGACCAGAGCCTCAGCTTCAGCTTGCGGCGCGTCGCCGAGGGCGAAGAAGGAAGAGGTGCAGGCTCGGCAGCGTGCTGCGAGTGCGTCTGCGTCTGCGACTGTGGCGTCGAGGAGGCCGAAGGCGTGGTTGCCGAGGCACGCCTCGGCGTCGGCGTCGGCGTCGGCGTCGGCGTCGGCGAGGCGGGCGAGCTCTGCGCGCCTGCTGGCGCTGCCGTCGTGGAGCCTAGTGCTCGTGGAGACGTCGTCAGATTCGGCGACGTCGAGCCCGGGCCCGGCTGCGCGCGCAATGTGGTGGTGGTGGTGGAGGAGGAGGAGGTTCGCGGCGCAATGAGACTGCTGTGGCGCCGCTCTCGGCGCTCCGCATCGCCGCGCTGCTTGGCGCTCTCCAGGCGCCGCCGCGAATGCTCTCGCGCGGCGAGGCGGTCGCAAGGCGCGTCTACTAGGTCGTCTAACCGCAGCCCAAGATCAGAGGGACAAAAGTGTCAGCGTGAGGTCGCCTCCTTTATGGGAAACGAGGAACGAGGGATAGGAAAGAGGAAGGAGGGAGGAGAGGGGACGGCAAAAAAACGTACCAGGATCAAGTTCATCTGCCGAATCCTCGCTGCCAGCGCCAGGGAAACGGCGTTGAGCTTCGACATCTGCCGCTGCTGCTGCTGCTGCTGCATACATCGAGGCGACGCGCGCCGGCGAGCTGCAGGTGGAGTGCAGCGAGCGGCGCTGTTGTTGTTGTTGTTGCTGTTGCAGCGTACTTGCTGCCGCTGCCTCGCCGGAGGAGGAGCGCAGCGCGCCGTAGGAAGCGCGTGTGCGTAGGCGCGAAGACGAGCCCACGCCCACGCCCCCGCCACTGCCAACGCCAGCTTGCTGTGCCTGCTGTTGTGCAGGCGATCGCGGCGCAGAAGAGACGTTGGGCAGTGTGCTGGAGCGCGGCAGCGTGGCTGGCGTGCTTCGAAGAAGCAGTCGCGGCGAACGCTCGCCGGATACGCCTGCGTCTTCTTCGGCGTCGGATTCGGGGAAAGCAGTGGTGTGGCGTGCTTCGTCTTGCAGTACTCGAGGTCGCATGTGCGAGAGACGCGCCTCGAGAGCTTCCGAGTCCTCATCACTGCTTTGCATGAGCTCCTGCTGCTCCTCCTCCTCGGGCGACTGGCTAAGCCTGGCATCCTCGTCGCCCTCATCTCCCGCATCATACAGACTCTCATCCTCGCCTCTCCATGCCTCAGCCTCGCGCCGCACGCCGCGCTGCCAGCGTCTGGCGCGCAGCGCCGAGAGCGAAGAGGGAGGCAGACGCACGCCAATGACGCCAATGTACGTGGCCCACTCGAGGAGAATGAGGAGAAGCTGGTGCAGCAGCACATAGACGGGCCGCACGCTGCCCACGGGCACTCGAGTGGCAGAGGACGGCAGCAGGAAGAGCACGTTGGAGATGGAGACTAGGACGAGCACGCAGAGCTAAAGGTTTGCGCGCGGAGTAACGTCAGTTTTTCGTTCGAAAGCCAGGTCTCTCTCCTCTCTCTCTCTCTCTCTCTCTCTCTCTCTCTGCATCCGATCCATCGAAGAGTGGCGCAGGCCAAGCCAAGCATGATTCGACACACACACACACACACACAAAGCTGTGGCCATCGGTTGCTTCGGCACGCGTGTGTGTGTGTGTGTGCGGTCGAGCCAAAACGCCTGGATGCCCATCTGATCCGCGCCTAGTTCGCATGCCTCAAACTGATGAACGTCCTGAATCATGCGCCCTCGTGCCCCCTCGCTGCCAGGACATCACATCACCACCCACCATGTCCCACTCCACAAAGCAAACTCAGAGAAGAGAACTCACCAGACACAGTGCCGCCACCGCAATGGCCCTTTGTCTCACTCCTCTGCCCACTCCCATGCCCACCAGTGCCGCGCCTCGCAGCGCCGCCACACCCACCACCCCCTCGAGCAAGCGGCGCGTCTTTTCTCTCGCCGCGGCATGCGACTCGTCGCCGTCGTCCTCTCCCCCTCCTCCTCCTCCTCCTTCTCCTTGTTGTTCAAGCGCACGCAATGCAGCACCAGCTAGCAAGACGCAGCTCGCGACGTCGAGGAGCGCGAGGAGGGGAAGCAGCAGGAAGAAGCGTGGCCGAGGCAGCGGCGCGGGCGGAGGTAGCTGTCGTGTGCGGCGTCTGTGCGGAGCAGCGCCTTGGAGCGAGGAGAGAGAGGCACCGTCATCGCCGACATGGCCGCCCGAGTCGGCGTGCGAGACGTAGATGTAGGAGCCACGCTGGCCTACGCCGTCAGCGGCACTGGCGGCGCTGATGCTGCCGCCTGCGGCCGCGGGCGCGGGCGCGGCCATAGGCGCAGTGAGGGCGGAGAGGAGATGCGTTGGGCCACTTGGCAGCGGCACGCGCGCGTGTCGGTTGCGGAGGTGGGAGCGTCAAGAGGTGTGTGTGCGTGTGTGTGTGTGAGAGAGAGGAGGCAGAGATGCGCGGATCGCACGCGGCGACGAGGACGCCGTAGACCTCTCACTCTGAGGGCCTCGAGCGAGCGGGAGGGGCCGATGACGGTCGAGCAGCAGGCTGGCAGCTCAG